ATACTTTTGAAAGGCACCAGGTTGAGGAATGCTCTGCTAGCTAATGTACACCCAATGCTGGCTTAAATATTGCAAGTTACCTATGCCTGTGTTACATTCTTGGGGTAAATGTGGAGTGTCAGCTAGCTTTTTTGACTATCTATAGTTACCCATAAACTCACAAGCATGCAGGGGTCTTGAACCATGGTGGACAAATGATTTGTAACATGAGAACACTTCAGAAGCCTGTAAGATTTTTCCGGGCAGAGGTTCTCTTCCACAGACTTAGTGAATAGACCAGCAACCCTTAGAATCAAAGGTACAGGCCTCATCTAATGTCCTTAAGCTTGTTAAGTATTAGTTTTAAAATAATGATATATTAAGCATACTTATTAAGGAAGAGGTCTCCAAACTTGGCAACTTGAAGACTTGTGGACTTTGAAGTCCACAAGTTTTAACGTTGCCAAGTTTGGGGACTCCTGTATTAAGGGGATAAGCCATTCATTGTCTTTTAACAGCAATATCTTTAGAGTAAAGGATTCTGTCAGTATGTATCAATTTATATTTTGCAAAAAGACAATAAAACAAAAGTCTTGGTTCACATTTTAGTGATCACAATTTTTTTTAAAAAAAATCACATTGTGATTCATGTCATACATGGAATGAAAAACATAAAATATGCAGAGGTTTTTTTTAGAACAAGCATTATTAACTCCTCAGTCTTTAAAGACAGTGTTAAATTAATGTTAATTGCTTCATCTTAAATATGCAGAAAGGGGTTTTTCTTAATAACAAGCTCTACGTTTTGTTTATTCTTGTTGATAAAAAGATGAAGCAGATGAATTTTATGTGGATATTTTCTCTCTGATAAGTCCATCTATGGAAGTTATTTTGTAGCATTTTGCAAAGGGCTTTTGAGAGCAGCAATTTCACATGCTGTTCTTGCTCATCATTGCAAAAAGTCCGATTAGCAGTGCTGTAAAATGGAGCAGAAAACCTAGTGGCACCTTAAAGACTAATAGCATAACCTTTTGTAGGCTAGAGTTCGCATCATCTAATGGTCTGGCTGTATCTAGTATAGATGTCATTAGCAATGCAAAATAAATGGACGCCTTTACAGGAAATTCAGAAAGTTCAGCTCAAGGACATTTCAGTCCATAGCAGTTTATATTAAAATTCATTTTACTAGTCTCTAAAATGTTAAAGGAATGTTTGCGTAACTCTAGAACCATTTGTTTGGTGTGATTATATGATCTAATAAAATGAATGAACAATGCCTGGTTTTTTTCTTTTTTTTTAAAGTAGTGTTCTGTTTGGCAAAGGTAGTATGGCTTGCTGGTTGACCTGTCTGAATTGCCTTTCTAATGTAGATAAAAGAGCAATTTTATCTACAGGTAATACAGCAATTAATAGCAATTAAATTTAATCTTGGAAATAATTGCCTTTGTAAAAAAAAACCTGCACGCTTAAATAAACAAAAGTATAGAAGATATAGTGGATTAGTACTTCTACATAAATTTAATCAAAATTGTATCTAGTAGTGAGATATTGTGGTGTATGGGTGTTTGAAGAACACTGCTGTCTAACACAACATTAGGAATGTTTAGCTCACAAGTGCCTTCTAGTCAGGACCAAAATGCTAGGCCCAAGCCAGCATTTCTTTCTGAGACAATTATTATTGTTGTTGTTATTGTTATCAATTGTGTTATCAGTTTAAGACTTGTGCTAGAGTTTACAACCTTAGAGATAATATACACGGACAAAACTGGATATTAGCATTTTAGGTGATATTGTGGATTATCTATAGGTTTTGCTGAGGGAAGATGATGATAATGGTAACAGTAGATCTGTAAAGATGCTACTGTTCTTTCTTCCAAAAGGATATATTGTGTATATAAAAGTTCAATAAATTCTTGTCAGCTTATTTATTTTATCAAATAAGGTGACTCTGGGTGGCATACAACAAAGCCACATATAAAAACCAGTTAAAACAATTAATTAATCCACATTATAAAACCAAGATTGTGAGAGGCTAATGAATTAATGTCACACATAGTGTGACTTAAAGTCTAGTCTGAGTTATCTTAACTGCGTAGTAATGTTCTTTCAACTTTAGGGGTTACATAAGGTAATTATGTTGACAGTGGTTTAGATAATGCTGTTGACACACAGTTTAGAGGAAAATATAACATAAAGTTGAAAACAAAATAGGACAGAACTGCCCTGTAAGGAATAGTTTGGGAGTCATAGACAGTCTGACAGCATTCCTTTTGTGGCCATAGAAATCTCCAAGGTGTACTAAAACATTGTAAGGGGGGGGGATTTTTTTGTGGGATTTAAGAGGGGAAAAGCACTAGATATTTAACGTACTGAAACCCCAATGTATTATCCTTCCAGAATATGTCTCGGTACCTCTCTAACTAATGAGACTTTCCAACCCAACTTCTAAAACGTGTCTTGGATTCATGCCATTTCTTCATTCTAGTGCTCCATAATTCGTCTTCTTCCCCTCAGAAGAAGGCTCAGTTTTCATTGACACAGAGGGTTGTGTTTTCTAGGCTCTGATGATCTTTTTTTGTTTTTTCCTTTAATAATCCTCCTCCTGGTGGTTTCATGTTTATCTAGGTGAAATGCAGCATTGAAACTTGACTTCTTGGCTAACATTCTTGGCATCTGTTTATGGAGTTGATGTGTGATTTCAAAATTAACAGGCTTTCTTTTAAGGTCTATTCCTCCCTTGCTTGAATATACAGGCTAGCAGCATATCCTATGTTCTCTGAGCAAAATGGCAGCCGGCAAGAAATCTTGACATCCTTTCCAAAAGTTTCTTGGCAGGACTTCAACTGCCTAAACAGTTTGTTGGCTTATGCTAGACACTTTAGTAGAGAGCTGGGCTCTATTTCTTCTTAAGCATTATATATCAAGAAGTGCTTGACATTTGCCTCCCTAAGGATATCATTTAAACAGCTTGTCTTGATCAATAGAATAGCTTCCTGATAAAATGAATACATAATCTGTATTTTTGGCAAGCTAAGGCTGCAAATTGTTCTTTCCTTTTGCTTTTGTTCCTGCAAGGTTTGTGCAGTAACCTAGCACTAAAGACCTGGTTCGTATTTTTTGCTGGCTGCATAAAGGCTACCATTAGTAGGCGAGCATTTTGTTCACAGTGATAATCATATATGTAACATTTCAGCAAAATATTCAAATGGCGTATAATTAGCTAGAATACAGGCAGCCCAAAGCATTCATGAATTAAATCTATTGCACAATTGGAATTTGGTAATTTGATTTTCCCTTCCTTTTGCCCCTTCCCCATTTTTCCTTTTTAGAGCATGCAGATAGTCCTCGACCTACAACCCCAGTTGAGCCCAAAATTTCTGTTGCTAAGGGGGACGTTTGTTTAGATTTTACAGCCTTTCTTGTAACAGTTGTTAAGTGAATCACTGCAGTTGTTAAGTTGTAACAGTTTGCTTGTTAAATGAATCTGGCTTCCCCATTGACTTTGTGGTCAGAAGGTCACAAATGTTGTTCACATGACTTTGGGACACTGCAACCGTCATAAATATGAGCCAGTTGCCAAGCATCTGAATTTTGATAATGTGACTACAGCGATACTGCTATGGTTGTTAGTGTGAAAATAGTTACTTTTTTCAGTGCTATTGTAACTTCGAATGGTAACTAAACAAATTATTGTAAGTCGAAGGCCACCTGCATTTAAGAAGATTCTGGGTACCTCATAATAAAAAAGTTACAGAATTCTTTTTCCTTTAAAAAACAACAACTATTAATGTAAGTTCAAAATGTGATCTAACATTACATTTTTAAAAAAGGCCTAGAAAATTACAACGTAAAACAATTTAGTATGTGCAAGTTGATCAAAGTCCTCTTCTTTTCTCCTTTGTCCAAAATATTCCTGATATTTTGATGGATTCCAAAACCTCTGAATGTACTGTAATTGACATGCCTGCTTGATTCCCAGTGATGGTTAATGTAATTATGGACCAACCTTGCCAATTTGAACCCCAAATGTGCTAATTATACAAGTCCAGTTCATTGACAGGAGATATCCCAGTGGCCAACTTCCAGTCAGTGTGAAATTGCAAACTGTTACATTATGGTCTGATAGGAATGTTACCGCTGGCTCCAGTGGGGTGAGTTGATTAGATCCCCTAGTGTTAAAAGGGGGGCAAAAAACAGCCCAAACCCAAACGGATCTTTTTTTTTTTTTAAAGTGAGTAGTTTTGCTGCTACTCACAGTTTTTCTGCTGTGTGATTTTCCAAAGGTAAGGTTGATCTGGTAAGAAACGTGCAGAACTCACACATGTAAGATTAGTGTTGGGAACAGCCTTTGAACAATAACATCCCCGTTGGTTAAGATTCCTTTTCCTTTGATATTGGATGCAATGCTTTAGGTCTGGCTTTGGACTTTAAAAAAAAAAAGGTCAAAATATCAGTCTTTGCTTTGAAATCTAAATATTACACACTTAAGACTGTCCATAGGAGCCAGTTTGGTGAAATGGTTAAGGTACCAGGCTAGACAATGGAAGATCCATTCTGAGTGACTTTGAGCCAGTCACTCTCATTCAGCCCTAGGGTGAAGGCAGTGGCAACCACCTCCCAAATTTTGCCGAGAAAAACATGGGGATTTGTCAGATAGTTTCCAGGAGTCACTAACTAAAGGCGCACACACACAGTCTCCCCACATCTCTGTTTATATTAACTGCTGGTAGGAAGGGCTTAGAAAGCCCACTGTCTCAAATTTGCGAGAGGGTTTCATATTTGTAAATGCATTATTTTGTAGACATTTGGCTGCTCTTATAAAGTTGTATTTTTTGCTATTCCGGAATCTAGCCTCTTACAAACTCTTCATGTTAGTCAAGCGATCGTTAAATGTAGTTGGGAAATTGCTCATGCTTGTTGATTGAACAGTGCAGAACTATCAAATGCAATTGGTACTCGGCTAGAGTATGCTTAGTTGTGATTTTATTTTTAAAGCAAGAATCTTTTTCCTCTTTTTTTAGATCTACAATGATAAATGGACTTATGATTGTTCCTGTTCTTGTGATGATAGTTTTTCTTTCACCGAGCAAGGCTGGTAAGTATTTGGGTTTCAGATCATATTAGTGAAATGTATTTTAATGTCACTGTTGTGTTTCTACAGGTTATATTGATTCAGTGAGAAAAGGTAACTCCACAGTGGAACATTCATGTTGTATATCCTTTTGGGAGGGGAGGGCGGGGGGGAGTGACTTTGCTCCAATTAACAATTTAAGGTTGGAGGTCCCATGTCCCAAGTCCCTTCTGGCTCTGTTCTTCCCAGATTCATTATCATTTTAATTCCTGTGCTAAGCAGAAGGGTTGACTGGCTGGCCTAAATGACTGCTTCCAGTTGCATCCTGGAAAAACAGAGCATTCCATTTCTGTTTCTAGATCAGCAAAAACAAAATGTTCTTGGGCCTATGCCTTAGATTTTGTGTGTGTTCCTCTCCCGACTTCTATCAGATTTAGTTCTGTCAGCAAAGTTGGCCACACTTCTGATGTCATCTTGGAACACAGTTAAGATTTAGCTCTTAGTTGGACCTTCAAAGAGTGAGGAGATGATGGAAGCTACACCCCAGATATGTAATGGCAAATGCAGTGTTGAGTTTGTCTGTAGTGTAAATGTAGGTCTTTTTGGAAATTTCAAAACTATTTATTGTACATGGTTGTTATCTGAGGGGTCCTGGTGCTCTCTGAGCTTAGGTGTTTCATTACCGAAACTATGTGACATCATCAGTGCTATTTTACTCCCTGCTAGGCCTGATTATCTTACCTAGTTTGGGTAATGAAATGTCTGCAAGAAAACAAGTTCAGAGCAATAGCACTTAGATTTTATATCCTTCACAGTGCATAAAGCCCTCGCCAAGCAGTTTACAGAGTCAGCCAATTGCCCCCAACAGTTTGGGTCCTCATTTTATCGACCTCGAAAGGATGGAAGGCTGAGTCAACCTTGAGCTGGTGAGACTTGAACTGCTGGCAGTTGCAGAATTAGCTTGCAATACTGCATTCTAACCACTGCGCCATCATGGCTCAGAGAGCAACAAAGACCCCACAGTTCAACCCTGAACTACAAATATTCTCCTTCATTGGTACTGTTGTTATCTGCTTAAAATCTAGGGATTGAAGGAACATAAAGACCCAACAAATAAGTAAATTTGAGCTGGAATGTTCTGCTGTGTTCTTTTCCTAAAAGAAATTGTTTGGGGACAAAACCGTGATGGCATTCAGCCCAGAAGAACTTGTCAGGTTATATGAATAGGTTATTGGCATAAAGCTATTGTACCATCAGTAAAATGTTTCACCAAGAAACAAAGCAGTGAGCAGTTGAGCTAAAGTTAATGTACGTGTAAAATTTGGTTTTCCTTTCTCAAGAGTCCATATTTCGAGGGAGTTGTGTTTTGAGTATGACCATTTCTCTGGTATGAAATAAGTATGTTGTGTTTTCATATTCCCCTCTACCCTCTTTAAATTAGTGATAAGCTTTATTCCTTGAGTGCAGACATGGTTTATTCTGAGCCGAACATAACTTAAAGTCTTTGATAGGGGAGGAATGTCTAGTGGTGGCACCCATTGTACAAACTTCCTTTTATCTTGCTAGACTTGCTAGTTTATAAGGTCAGGTATTACTTAACCCCAATAAGAGGGACCTTTTTGCTTGTTAAGAGTTCTCAGCCTTTAAAGTTGTAGGAGCATAAGATTGCAAAAAAAGTAACTTTTGAGATGATTGAACAATGAAGGCTTTTATTATCTACACTGAAGCTATCCATTATTAGAAGTAACTTATAAAATAGAAACCAGTGTCTTCAGAAATGAGGCATGTATCAGTCATATATATTGCATTAGAATTCTGGTAGTTGTAAATGTTAATTACATATATAGGTATATGCATGCGCACCCGTACATGGAGATTTATTTTAGATCCTAGATCAGGGGTCCCCAGTCTGTGGCATGCCATAAACTGGTCCGCGCAACCAAGTAGCCCCATCCATTGGATGCTGGCAGCACATGAAACCACACCCCCTCCGGTCCGTAGAAAAACCTCTCTCCACGGAACCGGTTCCTGATGCCCAAAAGGTTGGGGTTAGGCTGCTATCCTAGATGTCTTCCCTTACTCCAGGAACCATAAAGTATTTCTCTCCTATTGTTCAGACAACTGGAACTGTATCTGCTTTTCTTTAGGACAGTTAAGAAACATTGTGCAGGTAGTCCTCAACTTACAATCATTTGTTTCGCGACACATCAGAGTTACAATGGTAGAAACAGAAGTGTTGTGTAGCATGTTTATATAACATTTGCTGTGAGGACATTCCCAGTTTCTCAAGCTGATCCACCTAGTTTTCATCGTTATATTGTAATGCCCTTTTCATAGATTATTATAGACAGGCCTAATATACTGCTTTTAGAATTTTTCTTCTGTATTTTGCTCTTTCCCTTCAACACATCACTTTCAATAAATGCAGATCAAAAACAAATATTTGCCAGGATAGAAAACTTAAGCAAGAAAGCTACACTATTGAAATACTCTGCAACATACTGCAAACTGTGTCACAGCATGACTGATAAAGTAATACATTTTCTAATGCCTGCTGTGTTATTTTGTACAGCATTTATTAATTCAGATGGTACATTAGAACAAGTCATGTTGCTATTTAAGCCCAATTCCGTAGAGAAGAAGCACTAAAATAAAGGTGGAATGCCTATTAAAGGCAAGAGTTTTATACTTCCCTTCTCCCAAGGCAAATGGTTAAAGATATGTTCAGGGGTTCTTTTATGAAGGGGAAAAAAAAGACAAAAAAAAATATAAATTTGTCAGCTGCAAAGCAGGTTGAAACACCTAAAGGACCGCTTTTTTAAAAGGAGAAATCATTAAAATGTAAAGAATATGAATCAATGTGCAATCTGTTTGATGATAATTTATTCTGTTATAAGAAATATTGTAAAAGGATATAAGTGGCCACAATGGAAAGAACCAAGTTTTAAAATTTCTACTTGAGGTTTTTTGAAAAAATAAAATATTTTCAAAATTGGATGTTACTGCAGACTGGCAAGGGATACGGAAAATTCAGTGGTAGTGTCAAAAAGTTGTATTTATGAAGCCAATTATTAGCTTGGTCAGTGAGTTACAATTCAAAAAAGTTGTGGGCTAAGTCAAATATGCCTATGAACATCCAGAAATGAGGCACAAAGCTGACAAGGCAACTTTGCATATTTGTTGCCTTCATATCTTTCCAAAGTTCACACTGATTTTTCTATACAGAAATAGTAAAAATGCAGCAATGATGGTAGAGCCCTGAATTACATCACTGAAATCTTAAAAGATCAGAATAACAATTTATATCCTCAAATAGTGTAAGAGATTTGGGGAATTCATCAACAAATGATGTGATGTCAACATAAGGTAAAATACATTGTATTAATATAATCTAATACAGTGGTCTCCAACCAGTGGGCCGGGGAAATTTTGGTGGTCCACAGAGAAATGTCACTCCCAAAGCACCCCCCAAAGCAATTAATCCAAGCTGCATGGGAAAACAAGGCTGCGCCACCCACATGGCCCGCGGGAACACAAGGCTGCCGTTGCTTGCATTGTGAAGTACACGAGATAGTGAGGGGAGGGGGGAAAGGGCGGAGGGGGGGGAACTTGCCCCATGCACCCCACGCGCCTGGCCTGGCCACTGGGCTGCATCTTTCCACTTCTTTCTTCTGCAAGGAAAGCAGCATGCAAGGAGAGCAGCAAAAGTCTTTCTTTCTCTCCCCCAAACTCTGCCAGAAATGAGTTTTTTGGACCCTGCAAGGCATCCTCCAAGAGGCTGTGCTGGCAAAGACTCATTTCTGGCGGAATTTAGGGGAGAGAAAGAAAGACTTCTGCAACTTCTGCTGCTTTCCTTGCATGAAGCCAAAAGTCTCTCTCTTCCCCTGAGAACGAAGCTGGAGGCGGTATCCTGTGATCCCAAATAAAGAATGATTAATCGGTAGGAAAATGGGGTGGGGAACTTTCCTGCAGACTTTTTTTTTAGGATTTTCCCAGGGTCTCTGGTCCGTGGGATTTAAATTAAGAGTTTGGTGGTCCCTGAGGTCCAAAAGGTTGGTGACCCCTGATCTAGTAGACACGAATACTTATCTTTTGTAATACCTATCAATTCTATTGTAATACCTGCTTATAGTTAAAAAGTGCAGGTAACGCTCCTGGAAAAGTGTTAAAAAATACTTACCCTGTGAATTGCTGAACCAGATCTGGAGGGCCTGGCTCTTCTTGATGTTGCTGAACAACAACACCCAGCAGCCACAGCCACAGGGGCCAGGAGTCGACGTAGTTCAGCAACAGTGAGATATAGCATGTTCCCCATTCTTGTGCTTAAAAAATTGCAGGAGTCCAGAAAATGAAAGGGCTTTCATGATTTTTACACATATAAAAAAAATTCATAGATATGAAAAAATGTTTTTATAAAAAAAAATCAAAATTATTTGATACCAGTAGAAGAGAATATTAGTAGCTCAGGGTTGTATTGCAGAGTTCTGGGTGTTCTCTGAGCTTGGTTATTTTCTGGCAAACATTTTATTACCTAACTAGGTAATATCATCAGTGCTAGAAGGGAATGTGGCTTGCCACTCTCTACTCTCTTCTAACACACTCCTCTCTGTTGTAGCATTGATGGTATTATCTAATTGGATAATGAAACGTCTGCAAGAAAACAACCAAGCTTAGAGAGTACCCCTAAGGACCCCTACAATACCTGAATCATTAGAAAGATATTAAAGATTGAAAAATTGTAACTTGTTGCTTTCGCCCTACAAACTTAAAAAAAGCTTATTTGTTAAGGTGGTATACCCGGGGAATAGTCTTGTTTCCCTGCAAAGGAATGCTTGTTCATGTTTTCTGGGGGAGCGGATGGAAATACCATAAAACATTAATAATATTGGTTTTATTTGGACATCCATAAACTACCGGAACTAAACTCTTTTATGGGGATAGTCTTCCAAACGAAGAAGTCAAGTAAGATGAAAAACTATAGAAAGCTCAATACCGACATGAAAGTGGTAAAGGATCAGAAACAA